GCATGTAATAGGATTGGATCCAATGGACAAACAGATGTCTAGGGTGTAAAAGAGAGAAGGGAGAAATGGAAAAGTGAAGTCCATGAGAAACTGAAAGGGAAGGCCACCTCACTCATAAGTAAAAGGACTGGCCTTAGATTGGAGCTTGGACAGTTTATCCACCCTAGTGGGAGGGACATTAGATACAGGTGGACTCATCCGGTGTCCACATGTGCAAACATTCTCTTGATTGCTTCTATTTTTCTCAGGGAAATACAAGGCAAGAAGAAATCAGGAGAGTGAACTGACTGGCCAAATATACGAAGGGGTACGTTTTGAGCTCATGACGGTGCCAGTAGTCACCGTGTTTTTTTGGGTATTTCTTAAGACATTTTCAGATGTTCACGGCAGGCATGAAGCAAGTACACACACATAAGGTACAGCAGATGACACATCCCAGCAACCATATCCGGGAGCTATTTATTCATTCAAGAAATAAGTCTTGTGCATCTACTCTTGGACAAGCACTCTTCCAGACACGGAGGGCTATAAGGATGAACAAACAGAAGTGGTCACTGAACACATGGAGGTCCTATCCTAACACAGGGGAGACTTTCAGGATACCTAGTCTTCAAAAGGCATCGTCTTAAGATACTGCCATGTCAGGACCAGCCCAAGAAGGGTAATAGGCCTGGAGATACCAACCAGCGTGCCCATGATAACTGCCCAAAGCGGACACTGCTCTATTGGCATCCCCCATACACCCTTCTGGACAGTGTTATAAAGTGACCTTGAGAAACTGAATTCTGATGATGTTAAAGAAATAGGAGTATTGTTGTTTGCCCCATGGGTTTATTTTGGGGGCACAGGGCAGCCACCCCATTGGCCTTATCTAATGGATGGCACAGCACTATAAGGCCTCACTGTGTGGTAAAGACCACCAGAGTTATGATGTCCATGTGGTACAGAGCAAGAGTTTCAGAAGAGGGGGAAGTGGGCAATGGAGTGCCCACCAGAGTCCTCCAAGCCCTCTGGCCTGGAACATTTGGAGTCAGCCGAGCAACGGACAACAGGAGGGGTGGGGGAGGGGCGTTCCATACGGTCCAATTCAAGAGGGTATGGCGCTTCTGTTTCCTCTCTCAAGATACGGTTTTGCATTTTAGAGTCTGCTGTCCCTCTTCATGATTATGTCACTTCATAATGTCAAAAGGACCTTAACCAGGAAGTGCTGAAGCTGATGCTGGAAGGAAGTCACAGAGAAAGACACTATTTGAAGCATAACAGAGAGATCAGAAAGACTGGAAAGGACACAGCCAGGGGCTGTGCCTCTGAGAGGTAGGCAGTAGCCACCGTTCATGCAGTCAGCATAGATCTGAGGCTACTACCTGTGACAGAGGGTCTGTGTGTCAGGCAGAGCTGCTGCTAATGGAAAGAGGTCCTACATCATCAACTGACTCACTAGGGCCGTGGCAGTGGCACCATCTGTGAGAGACTCTGCCCCCTTCTCGTCTTGTCTCCAGAAAAACCAAGTGGTTATGTATGAAGCTAGCAGAGTGCTTGAGACTTGGGCTTCCCAGATGAAGGGCTTGAGGCCGGCACTCCTGCCAGGAACTTCACGTGTCACGTCGGGGATCATGCTGGTCTTGGTATTGGTTTTCCTGCCAAGCTTGTACGGTGACCTGGGATCAGTATATTACTCTTCCTATGAAATAGTCATCCCCAAC